ACATTTTCAGTATAGGCTTATAGTTGTTTTTGTTTGTTTGTTTTGTTTTGCTTTTAGCAATATAAGTCCCTTAAGAAATTAGGAAGTTTCTGTAGGCCAATAAATATCTGTACTCTCTCACTAACCTCTGATTTCTTTTTGTAATTTAGTCATACCTTTCCTGAGCTAAAGGAAGTCTGGTGGTGCAGAGGTTAATGAATTTAGCCACTAAACCAAAAGGTTGGAGGTTCGAACCCGTGGGAGAAAGATGAGGCAGTCTGCTTCTATAAGGATTTACAGCCTTGGAAACCCTCTGGGAGTCACTATGAGTAGGGATGGGCTAGATGGCAGTGTGCTTTTGCTTTGCCTGAACTCATCTCATTTTGGAAATATCTGGACAAATGCAATCAGTGGTAGCCAACAAACACAATTAAAGTTAGTTTTTGTCTGTTTTTGTTTTCCCATCCTCTTCCCCTAGAGCTACAAGGTTACTTGGCACATAGATTGCCTTTTAAGTTTTTCGTACTTGTCAGTTTCACCAAATATTTTGTCATTGAAAAGCATGAAGTTTGATCTTTACAACCTCTGGTATCAGTTTCTTTGCATCCACCACCAATGTCAATGGCACCCTGCTTAGATTTCTGTGACAGCAGTATCCCACGCCCATTATCAATTTTGGTATTAGTTAGGAAAAGGAAGGCTAGCTACTCTCCTTGTCGTTGTTGTTAGTGCCATTGTGTTGGTTCCAGCGCATTGCCCCATACACAGCAGAACAAAAGACTGCTTGGTCTCCTGCCTTCCTCACAAGCATTGCTGTTTCAGCCCACTTTTGCAGCCATTGTGTCAGTCCATCTCATTGAGGGACTTCCTCTTTTTCGCTGATGCTCTACTTTTCCAAGTATGATGTCCTTCTCCAAGGACTGGTCCTTCCTGGTAACTTGTCCAAAGTTCATGAAAAGAAGTCTCGCCATCCTCACTTTTAAGGAGCATTTTGGCTGTACTTTTTCCAAAACAAGTTTGTTTGTTCTTCTGACAATTAGTCCTGGTTCTCTAGTGCCACTCTGACAGGAATACACCACAAATGGGATGGCCTTAACAAACAGGAGTTTATTCTTACAATTTGGAGGCTTTAAATCCAAGTTCAAAGTGCCAGGCTCTAGGGGCTGGGTGAAAGCCCCTCAACCTTGGGCTTCAGCTCTGCCTCCTGCTCCCAGCCCACTGGAGCTAGAGGCGTTTCTTCACTCAGACAGCTGCTGGCTGCTAAGGCTGCCAAGCCCAAGATTGACACATAAAATGGCACAGTCTCAATGTTACCAAACCACAAGGCAGGCCATTAATTTAAGTCCATTGTAAGTCCTAAGATTGGCAGAGTATGGCAGGCTGCTGAGCAATGACATGGCTACATGCAGGGTCCACGTGTGCCATAGGCTAGAGGCCATTCCCAAAGCTGCTGCTTATATACGAGAAGCAGACCACATACCCAAAGGCGGAGCTACACAGCTGCTTGTGGTAGATCCCACCATGGAGCTGACTGTCAGTCTCATCACGGGGAATAACTACCATCAGCTTCCCAGCCACTCAGCCAGGCCCAGCCAAGTTGGCAGACACACATAACTACCACACAGTCCATAGTATATCTAATCTTCTTCGCCAACACCATAACTCAAATGTACCAATTCTTCTTTGGTCTTCCCTATTCATTGTCCTGCTTTTGAATGCATATGAGACTATTGAAAATAGCATGGCTTTGGTCAGGCACTCCTTAATCTTCAAAGTGACATCTTTGCTTTTTAACACTTTGCAGTGCAGTGAATTGCTTAATATGTCCCTTCTAGCCATAGTCCTCCATTGTGTGATGTATTGAAAATCCCAGCCTCTATGCCTATGGTTATGGTTCCATTTTGAGATGAGTTGTCTGTTACACTAATTAATGAAACAGAAGTACGGTGATATGGTCTTAAGTACCACCTTGCTGGAGGGTGTGACTCAAGTCACCACCCTTAGCTTCCTTGAGGGTATAAATGTGAATGTTCTGGGCAAAGTTCACTCTCTTGCTCTGGATCCTATATCTGGTTGTCATCCTCACATCCTGATTCTTGGGACTTGAGACAGCAATCAGTCCCCTGACTTCCCAATTTGAGTTCGTCAGCTCCTATAACCACGCGAGTGAGGAGAGTCCTCCAGAGTGATGCCTGACCCACAGACTTGGGACTTGCCAGCCTCCACAACTGCATGAGCCATTTCCTTGGCAGTGTGTAAGTTCTGTGAGACGTTGCAGCAGAATACAGAACCCTAAAATGGGAGGGAGAGCACTGATGGGGGAAGGAGCAGTTGATGTTAGAGACGGTGAAGAGGTACAGTAGTTTGGAAACACTGGGCATTTGGGACATCTTCAACCTCTACCTCATAGGGACCAGCCTTTTGCTGCTATTTCTAAACGAAATCATTCGAGCACACTTTAAAGATATCTTTTACAGCAGATTTGTCCAATGCAATACATCATTTGATTTCTTAACTACTGCTTTCATGGATGTTGATGGTGGATCCAAGAAAAATGAAACCCTTCACAACGTCAGTCTATTCTCCATTTATCATGATATTGCTAATTGATCCAGTTGGGAGGACTTTTGGTTTCTTTCTGTTGAGGTATAATCCATACTGAAATCTGTAGTCTTCAATCTTCATTAGTAAGTGCTTCAAGTCTTCTTCACTTTCAGCAAGCAAGGTTGGGTCATGTGCATATCACAGGTTGTTAATGAGTCTTCCTCCAATCCTGATGCTACATTCTTCTTCATACAGTCCACCTTCTAGGATTATTTGCTCAGCATACAGATTGAATGAGTATATTGAAAATATACAACCCTGATGTACATCTTTCCTGATTTTAAACCATGCAGTAGCCCCTTGATCTGTTCAAACAACCTCATTTTGGTCCATGTACAAGTCATAAACTAAAGTGATATATAAATAGATCTAGCTCAGAACCTGAATACATACTAAGGGATTCAATAAATTTTTATTGAATGGATGTGATATTATGTGTATCTATGCAAATAAGTTATTTTTACACATTTGTATTTAATCATTCATAGTTAAAGAAAGCAAAGCTTAGATAAATTAAGTAACACAACCACCGTCACACACCTGAGTTCAGGTCCATGGCCCTACCTGTGTCTGTGCCTGCAGACTCTTTTCCATAGAAACAAGAGCAAAGTGCACTGCACCTTTTTCTCTGCTTTCAGAGCCCCCAAATCTGACCATTTCCCCAACGTTTGGGGCCCTCTTTTCCTTTACTCTATTTCAGACTTGTTATTGTCTGTCTATTGCATAATAGTAACTTTGGTTGCTCTTGTTAGTTGCCAATCCGCCGGCACCAGCACACAATGGAGAGAAACGCTGCCTGGTCCTGCACCATCCTCCGCTTCAGTCGCACAGAGCTGTGTGATCCACAGGGCTTTCACCAGCTGATTCTCGGAAGCTGATCTCCAGGCCTTTCTTCCTAGTTCTTGTTAGTCAGAAACTCTGTTGGAATCTGGTCAGCATCGCAGCAACACACAGGCTTCCACTGACAGATGGGTGGTGGCTGTGCCTGAGGTCCTTTGGCTGAGAGTGGGACTCAGGTCTCTCACCGGGAAGATGAGGGTTCTACCACTCACCGTCACTGACCCCCTTACTACTTCAGGGGACACAGGAAACACAGTGACAACCCCCTGGTAGTTTTTGACACGATGAACGAGATTTTTGTCATAAAACTTGTTAGCCTAAGTTTGCACAGTGAGCATACTTAATAGATTTTGCCTGTGTCAACATTTCTATCCTCCACTGAACAGTTTGTTTATTTTACTGATAGCTTCTATATGCATTTAGGGGATTTCATAATATCATAACTATCCATTATGTCTGGGAAAGGCATATATTTTCCTGTGTTCAGCATTCTGTAAACACTTTAACATGTTAATCATTCCTAACAGGAATATATATATATAACCAACCAAACCAAACTCACTGCCATCAAGTCAGTTCCGACTCATAGCGACACCTCATTGAGTTTCCGAGGCGGTATGGCTATGGAAGTAGATTGCCTAACCTTCTTTCTGAGGAGTGGCTGGTGGGTTTGACCCGGCAGCCTTCAGGTGAGAAGTCAAATGCCTTAGATATTACGCCAACAGAGCACCTATATTTATTTATCTATTTATATATGTATGTATGTGTGTGTGTATACACATACACACACATATATATACACACACACACACAAACCAAATATATTAGAATTTGCTCGGTGTGAACATACACAGTATTTGATTCCTTCCAACTGGTCACACTTTAAATTGGCTCTGTTTTGAATTCACAAGCTGTGTGTGTTTAACGGCAGGTGGGAGAGAAAAATGAAAGTAGTAAAATTTGTAATATTGGTCACAAACTAAAGATCAAAGGATGTATTCAGCTACATAGATCCTTCAGAACAAGTATCTTTCTGAGGGTTAATGACTCACACACTGAATGAAGGTTAAAACATGACCAATGCAAGTGAGATCATTGTAGGTGTTCTTGTCCTTTATGAAAATATGCTTAGTTTTCCATTTTTAAACAGGTAAATTAAGGACAAAATGCATGGAAATACACTGTTAGCAAGTGTGATGTTGAAACACAATTTCACGAATATCATGCTTCTATCAGGTGGGGAATATACATTTCTGCCTCCAGTGCAGTGAGGTAATTTGGTTTGAAGGCATCTCTTTAAAAGACAAAAGTCATGTGAAGTCACTTGATGAGAAGAGCAATGAAAAAGAGAGAAACTAAAACAGCCTAGATACCTGAGACTTGCTTTTGATTTGCCTCAGTCTGATGTTTGCAGAATACTACCCCCTCGCTCATTCCCCACTCGTGTATATATTAAGGTCTTTGAAATGTGAGCATTAGGGGAAGGATCGCAGTTGCTTTAAATTATAGAAGTTGGCAAGTGCCTGGGAGAAGGAGTGGGAGGTTGTTTAAACTGAGAAAGACAGTTGCAAAACTTGGTACAACAGCATGAGCTCCTCCAAAGCTTCAAACACATTCTCCTACTCGCCCGAGCACTTTATTTTTCATCAAGTTATTCTTTGCTCTGCTTTGAAGCATCTTTGAATAACAAACACATATTTCTACTTTAACTTTTTAAATGGTTTCTAAATTCATGGGACAACCGGAACAAGGACGCCTCATGGTTTGGGGGAAAGTTTGGTGATCAGCAATGCCTAAAAAAGGTAAGCTACAGTTTTCACTCTGGTTTTCTTTTTATTTTCCTTCTCCTTGGCCTTTGTCAAAAATATTTATGGAAAGAACTTCAGACAGCCACTGGTAAAGGAATGGGAAGCTTGTAGAAGGTACGTCAACAAATGATAAATCAGAGATTGGAACGCGGCAATGACAGTTCTTGCTCCTACTTTCTATTCCGCTTGACGCGTGATTCTGCAAAATAGCTTTCACTGTGAAAAATGCCACCTCTCCTAAGAAATGAGTCGGGGTCCTCAAACTCTTCAACCTGATGGATTTAACATTCACCAGTGTGCTGCCGGGCTAATTTATAGCTGAGTTCAGATTATCGATGTTTTTGTTATCTCCTTATATGCAATTCAACTTCCAGGGCTATGATCCTTTGAAATCATTCCCTTGGAAGATTTTAATATCCTTCTGAAAGTTCTCTTAAGCGCGGGTTACTATGACATCTTAGTAACTTGTTTTGCAGAATACGCTTTTTAAAACTTAAATGAATCATTTCACTTTTCCTGAGTAAGTACCCTGGAGGATGTTACAGATACTATAACTCGGGGGGGGGGGGGGGGGTACAGAGGAAAGCACAGTGCAACTGAACATTGGTTAATTCAAGTCACATATGGGGGACAATGCTACCGTCTGGCCACAATGGCTTTGTGTGCGTGATCGTGCCTCTCACTCAGGTAGGCAGTGGAGAGGCTATGTATGGTGTCTCCCTGCGCTTCCGTGTGTGAGTCGTGGGAGACAGAGCTTGCCATTTCAGGAGACAGAGGAGACGTATGTGGTGTGTTTTTCTCATTTCCCCGAGAAAGTCTGTTATCAGTGTTCCCAAATTTCTGAGGCAGAATTCCAGGTGCAAAAAAACTAGATGTCTGCAGAGATCTGCGATTCCCTCGCCACGCTAGGTTTTAGCAGAGCGCACGTTTGTTCCTGTGTGCACACATCTATATTCACAGGCAGAGGTTAAATTAAAATGCCCTGTGCATTTGACTGAGCTCGAGAGGTTTTGGACATCCTAGGTGACTTTGGACTACAAAACCCACTTGTACAAAAACGGTAGCAAATAAGCCCGCTCGGCCTCGGGGAGAATGGAGACCTGCTACCCACGGGACAGCTCTTCCCACTGAGAAGGTCTCGACCTCCCTTGCTGGACCAGTCATTGCTCTCTTTCTGGAATTATTTTTTCCTTCTGGGTCCCATTCTGGTTACATAAGGTGGATTATAGCTGCTTCCTGTGCCTTCTGTGGTCTTCGCCAAAGGGAAGGGACTAAGGTCAGAGGAAGGACATTGTTACCCAAACGGGAGAAGGCCACCTAGCTCGTTGAAGGGTGGTGGAGGGAAAACGCCGTTGCCTTTCTCCAGCCATCGTGGTTAGTGAAGGAACAGAGGGGCAGGTACTGCCAGCGCCTTGTCCTACGATGTCGTCTTTCTCCCTTTCTCCACTTCTGTCCATGGCAGCCTGTCGGACATCGAGAGGAGGAACAGCGAGGTGGTCAGAAAGGATTATTCCCGTCTCCTCCTTCGCAGTCCTCTCGGGCCTGTCCCCAGGCCAGTTGGGAAAGCCCCAACCCTATTTGGAGGGGGGGTCCTCAGGACCCCACCCCATGACCTCATTGCAGGCAGCCGTGGGGCTGCGATGGCCAGCGGTTGCATGGCGCCAAGTGCACCCGGGGGACGGGTGCGGCCGAGAAATGCACAGCATGGCATGACGTGACTGCCGGGGAGCGAGCGAGCAAGGGAGCGCCACTTCCCACCGTGGGTTTCCATGGAGGCTGGCGGCTTTTCTGGAAGCCAGACCCTCCAGGCCCCTCCTCTGGGCCCAAGAAGGCTCCAAAGAGGACAAAAACAAAAAGGCAATTAGGTTGCTGATGGAGCCGCAGGCCAGCTGACTCATCTGAGGCCTAGTCACAAGGGGGCCACCAGGAAACCTGGACAGAGCCCTGGAAAGGACAGGTCAGGGCTGTCCCAGAAAGGGTACTGATGAGCTAACGCGCCTCCTCACCTCACAGAGGTTGGGGGAGAGAGAGAGAGACAACATCTGCTGGGCGGAGGGGGAGAGTGTTAACTAATGAACTGCTGGGGGTAAGGAGGCTTGCTGTCTGCCTGGCCTCAGGCAAGACCCAAGTGTAGGCTAGCGGGCAGGCTAAAGCCACGGACCCTGAGTCTAGGAGCCAGAAACAGAAAAGCCCAAGGCTCAGGAACTAATACTTTGAGGGCCTAGGAAAGAGATCCATTCAATAAGTAGCTGTCATCATCAGCCAATTCCAACTCACTGCAACCCCATGTGTGTCAGAGGAAAACTGTGCTCCAGAGGGTCTCCAAGGGCTGAATTTTCAGGAGTCGACCACCAGGCCTTTCTTCCCAGGTGCCTCTGGGGGGGGGGCTCAATCCAACCTTTTGGTTAGCAGCCGAATGCATTAACCACCCAGAGATGCCTAAACTCCCACTGGGCATATTGTGCCAGTTACTCTACCAAGGGTCTTTGAACATGGTTCTTGACAAAGACATAAACATCATAAACATCAACTACCAAACAGGAACTGGTTTGTTAGTTTGTGGGGTGGGGGGGAGGGGAGGGGGTTGATTCTGATGCAGGGGTACCTTTTGCGTACAGAGTACAACTGCTCCATCTGGTTTTCAAAGCTGTGACCTTTAAGAAGCAGATAGCCAGGCCTATCTTCTGAGGCACCTCTGGGTGTTTTCGAACTGCCAGCCTTTTGGCTAGTAGTACAGCACTTAACCATTTAGACCACTCAGCCAGCAAAACATAAAACACAGTGTAGAAATTATGGAAAGAACGCAAAGATGGGCTTTGCATATCTGCCTGCACTCCCAGTGCAGGTGGACTTCCTGAGTGGTGTAGATAGTTAACGCACCCAACTGCTAACCAAGCCATTGGAGGTTCAAGTCTATCCCAAAGCACCTTGGAAGAAAGGTCTGGTGATCTATATCTGAAAAATAAACTATTGAAAACCCTATGGGGCACTCTTCAACTCTGACACACATTGGGTTGCAGTGAGTTGCAATCCACTAGACAGCAATTAGAAACAAAGAGCATCTGGAATTGGTAGGATTTAAACTCAAATTTGGAGGACGAGTTAAATATGAGACAGGTAACAGGGGCCAGGGTTTCTAGGCAGAGGTTGGTGTGCACAGCTATCATAGATGTGTGAGGATCATAGCTGCTCACATAAAGCTTGGAGGTAGCTAGGCTGTCCCACCCAAAGCAAATTCCAAGGAACACCTGTTGCATGAATTATTAAAGAAAGAATAATTTGGAAAAATTTCTCTGGTCAGACAATTTTGGTGATATGAAAAGTTGTGCACTATGTGGGACCAGAGCTCAGGCTCTACGGTTGCAAAATCTGACCCCAGTTCTGGTCTTTAGATGCTGTGTGAACTTGGACCTGTTCAAACATCAGTATCTTCATCTGTTAAAGAAGAGCAATAATTATACCCATCTTACAGGATTCTTCTGAGGATTAAGCTAGAGGATCCATGTAAAGGGCCCACTGTCAAATTGCCTGGCCTATGACGAGAACTTCATAAATGTTAGCCATTCTAATTGCTCTTGTTGTTAATTGCCTTCAAGATGACTGTGATTCATGGTGATCTTATATGTAACAGAATGAATGATGCCTGCCCCTGCACTATCTCCAAGATCTTTGATATGTTTGGCTGAGTGGTATTGTCGTGGCTATTCTAGCAATTAAATACTAATTTATGTACAATAGGACTTGTACGTATTTGTACAAATTTGTACATTATGTATAATATTTGATCTTGTTGTTGTTGTTGTTGTTATGTGTCATTGAGTTGGACCCAACTCATAAAGACGCCTCCTTGGGTTTCTGAGGCATATGGAAGTAGATTGCCCAACCTTCCTTCTGAGGAGTGGCTGGTGGGTTTGAACAGCTAGCCTTCTGGTTAATGCCTTAGACACTATGCTACCAGAGCTTCAATATTTGACCTTATAGTTTGCTAATGTCCATGACTGGATCATAGAATTTAGCATTTTGCAAACTCATTTGACCATGACACTGTTATTTTCTAAGGACTTTCATACAAATCATGAAATACATGCTGAAAAATGGTCAAGTTGAGTTGGTCAAGTCAATTGAGGCCCATGGCCTTTAAGCACAAGTCTTTTCTAAGATCTAAATGGCATTCACCAACCTCCACTGACCATTTCACAAATTGACTTCCATGTCTCAAAGAAACAGAAGCCCAACCACTGGGATTCTCATATCTAAGGAAATTGCCTTTTAAAAAACAAACAAACAAACAAAAAACTATTGTTAACTCTGGGAGAAAGTTGAGGCAGTCTACTCCCATAAAGGTTTACACCCTTGGAAACCCTATGAGGCTGCTCTACTCTGTCCTAGGATCACTATGAGTCAGAATTGATTCAATGGCAGTGAGTTTTGGTTTTGGATTGTCAACTCTTAGAAGAAAAAGGAAAAAGATAACAAAGCAAATTCTTTTCAGTAATTTCACTCTTAAAAAGTCAGGTTTTGACTGAAGTTTGAGGGCCTCTTGTGTACAGGATAGTGTAAAGGACACAGGATAGAATAAAGCATGATCCTATCTTCAAGGAGTTTACAGTCTAATGGGGAAAATAAACCATGCACTCCAGTGTCTAAAATGCACAATTAGATGGTATGAGGAAAAACGTAAAAGAGGTTGAAAGTGAATGAGAATTCAGAGAAGAGGAAACAGTGAGCACCTGTAGTTAACATCTCCTGACATTTATCATGCAGGGAACTATGCTAAGTATGTTACAACATTATCAGCCATTTATAACTTACAAGGTCATAAAGTGGGTGTTGATTCACCCATTTCACAGGTGAGAAAATCAAGCCTCAGAGAAATTCAGTAACCTGCCTGCAGTCTTATAGGACGTCAGTGGCAGAGTAGGGACTGGAACTCAGGTCCATGTGACGCTCTCAGTCTCCCACTCAGGGAAGACTCCATGAAGGAGATAATATGC